TCGCTTGTCGGCGGCGCGCCGAGGGGGGAAGAGGGAGGGGGCAGGCCTTGTCAGATGGCGGCGTGGCTTCTCAGAAGCCCTCCCTCCTTCTGAGCCTTCCCCCTCTGCCGTCCCCTCTGGTCGCGCCGCCGAGCTTGGGCCACCTGGCGCTACCTCGGGCCACACTGGAGTCATCTTGGGCCATTCCTCTGCCTGCTCGAGGCCGAGGCCATTCTGGGGGTCTCGTGGGGCCTGGTATGTGCGTCTGCGAGAGGCCCCCCCCTCCCCCCGCCCCTCCCCCAGGCGAGGAGGGACACGGGTGACGCCTGAACATGCTAGTCGTCTTGTCAGCTCCGCGGGCTGCCACGCTCGTAAGAGACAGCACTGTTGGTTGCCGGAATTGATAGTCACTTATGCACTCATGCGTTAGTGTAGGTTTCATGAGCTCTGGGTGCCAGGACGATGTGTCGAGTCGGCCAGGCCCGAGCTGGGATCACGCACAGTTCGATCATGGGCATGTGCTAAGATTGTGTGATTACTGGCCACAAGCATACTTTTCATCTGTTTTCTGGCACTTTTTTTGTTCTTGGCATCTGATCGCTTCAGGTGGATGCTTGAGTACTCTGTCCGAGTTCTGTTCCCTTTGCCACGTCAGAGGATCGAGAACGTCAATCATTCATGTTTGCGTGATGTGACTACAGTTTTCATCATGAGTATCCCACATGGTTCTAGATGCCTCGGCGTGGCGCGTTGATGGCGCGACAATTATGGGCTCGATCTCAATGTAGTACTCTTTCCCATGCCATTGAAGACGTCGTCTGGACACGTCGGGCACCCAATGCGACATCGCTGAATGCCTTCGGACTCATGATCGCCGTCGATCCCCTCTGCCAGTCTTTTCGATTATCCCCTTCGGATAGAAGCTTGGGCCTGTGTATTCCAACCTCTTTTCTGATGCGCAAGGATGCCCATCTGCCGATCTTCTCGTCAGTGTGCTTTGATCGACGTACTCTTCGCGGTCGCGGACCTGCCCTGGCCGAGGCGGCTCTGAACGCCCATGTTCATGGGCAGCCCCTCCCACGAACTCTGCGCAAGCGCGCACAGCTCCTGGCGTGACCCGCTGGAGGGCCCAGGAGCTGTCATTGGCGTCGCGCCGAGGGGGGAAGTGGGACGGGGCAGGCATGGTCAGATGGCGGCGTGGCTTCTCAGACCTCGGCCCTCAGAGCCTTGTAGGAAGGCCCGCCCCCTCTGCCGTCCCCCGTGGCCGCGCCGCCGAGCCTGGGCCACCTGGTGCTACCTCGGGCCACATCGGAGTCATCTTGCGCCACTTCTCTGCCTGCTCGAGGCCATTCTGGGGGTCTCGTGGGGCCATGCATGTGTGTCTGTGAGCCCCCGCCCTCCCCCTGCCCTTCCTCCAAGCGAGGAGGGAAACGGGGGACGGCTGAACATCCCAGTTCTCGTGTCAACTCCGCGTGCTACCACGCTCGTAAGCGACGGCGCTGTGGATTGCCAGACTTGAGAGTCACTCGTGGACTGCTTCAGGCGATCGCAAACATGGATCGAGGGGGCGTGGATTAGCGACGGGTCCCGTTTCCATGGGAAATCGCGGATTTACGCCGCTGAACGAGGCGGTACCAGTCGCATTTTGGGGAGGGCACCTCCCCCGATCCATGGAATTGGCGACCGCGCGCCGCTAATCCATGTTTGCGCGCCCCCGACTGATGCGTTAGTGGATTTCATGAGCTCTCGGTGCCAGGACAATGTGTCGAATTGGCCAGGCCCGAGCCAGGGTCCAGGGTCACGCACAACTCGATCATGGGCATGTGCCAAGATTGCGCTTTTCTGGCCGCGAGCTCGCACCAAGATTGTGCCAATATTGTGCTCTCCTGGGGGACTCGCTGGGCCTCCTCCTTCTCCTCCTCCTCCTCCTCCATCTCCCCCTCCTCCTCCTCCTCCTCCTCCTCCTTCTCCTCCTCCTCCTCCATCTCCCCCTCCCCCTCCTCCTCCTCCTCCTCGCGATCCGATGCGGCTCGATGCTCGCATGGCGCTGTTGTGCATCCTGGCGCACCCAACCCGATTCGGTCCCGACTCCGTGCCGAGGCAGCCCGATCCGACGCACGTTCCGATCCGACCCGATCTTCCGCTCCAGTGCTGGCTGATCCTGGGGGTGGCCAGGGGCCTGCGCATCGAGCAGATCGAGGCCCTGACGTTCGCCGATGCGCTTTTTTCAGCCCGCTGCCTCAGAGGTCCCGGCCCATTCCCCGGGGCCGGTTTTTCGCCCTGGGTCCATCCTAGGGTCCCAGGGCCCGGGAGGCCGAAATCGAGGAGCAGATGCCAAAGGAAATATCGAGATCGAGATCGAGATCGAGGCCGAAACCGAGGCCCACAGCGAGGCCCAACTCGAGGAATCGAGGCCGAAATCGAGAGCGGCCCCCGAGAGGCCCGAGAGGCCGAAATCGAGGCCGACATCCGGGATGAACACCAGAGGAGGAAACACCAGAGGATGACACACCTGATGAAACACCAGAGAGGGCGGAGACACAAGCCCGTGCGAGCGCGCTCGCCAGGAGGGCTGTGGCCTGGCCGCCGGGGGGGCCTGGGCCGCGACCCCAGCGAGGCGTGCCCGGGGCACTCCGAGGGTCGCCCGCAGGGCCCAGTCTCGGGCTCGAAGTGGCCCCAGCCAAGTGTGTTCCAAGGGCGGGTTTTGGCAGTGCTGGGGCGGAGGTCTTTAGCCGTTGTCGGCTCGCTAGGGTGAAGGTCTTTAGCCGTTGTCCGCTCCCGGGGGCAGACGCCAGGCCCCGTCAAAAGCGACTCGGGATCAAAAAGCATCCCCATGGGGCCACGAAGCGTGTGAGGGTTGTGCTGAAACGGGGGGTGGGGACGCATGTGATCACAGCCACTGGGGCCTTCGGCTATGGGGCCACGAAGCTATGTATTGGGTGCGCTGAAATGGTGGACATGCCGAGGGCAGAGTCAAGGGTGGGAGGAGGGGGGAGAAGGAGAAGAAGGAGGAGGAGGAGGAACGCTGAGCGCTGTCTCTTCACAACGAGGACCCAACACGACAGGATGGTGTGGAATCAGGCATCGATATCTTTGCGCAGTGGCCCTGGCCCAAGGTGTCCCCAGCTCCTCGCGCCACGCTGGAGGCGCCGACATTGGAGAGAACGCGTTTCACGGGCGCTTGCCTTGGGAACATTCGGCGGCGCGTTTCGAACTGGGGGTTGGGCCCCCCCGCCCCAACACTCGGCGCCGTCGATCAAAACAAGGGGGACTCCCCTCCCCCCAAACCCCCCCCTCCTGAAACGCCCCCCCCACCCCTCTCCCAAGGGGGGTGGGTTCAACCCCCCCCTCGCCTCGGCGCCGGTGCCGGCTCTGGCGGCCGCCAGCATCGCCGACAGCGGGGAAGCAGCGACGATGGCGAGAGGCAGCCCAAGGGGGGTGGGTTCAGCCCCCCCTCCCCCCCGGGTTCAAACCCCTCCCCCCCCCTCCGTGGCGCCGGCGCCGGCGCTGGCGCCGGCGCTGGCGGCGGCCAGCAGCGCCGGCGCTGGCGCCGGCGACGGCGGAAACGCAGCGACGATTACCACCGCTGCCACCACCGCCACCACTACCACCACCACCACCGCCTGAACCCACCACCACCACCACCAACCCACCACACAACCAACCACCACCACCACAGCCACCACCACCACCACCACCACCACAGCCACCTCCACAACTTTCCATCACCACCACCACCTCCGCAAAAACCCGCCACTACTACCACCACCACCACCACCACCACAATCTACCATACCACCACCATCGCCACAACCACCACCATTACTAGCAGCACAACCCACCGCCACCACCACAACCCCCTACACCACTACCACCGCCACCACCACCACGACCAGCACCACGTCCACAAACCACCGCCACCACCACCACCAGCAGCAGCAGCACCACCACCACCACAAACCACCACCACACCACCACACCACCACCATCACCACCACAACTCACCATCACCACCACCACAAAAACGCACCACAACTACCACCACCACCTCAATCTATCACACCACCACCACCACCGCCACAACAACCACCACTACTAACAGCACAACCCGCCGCCAGCCCACCACAAACAACCACACCACCACCACCACCGCCGCCGCCACCATCACCACCACCAGCACCACCTCCACAAACCACCGCCACCACAACCCCCCACCACCACCACCACAACAAACCACCACACCGCCACCAACCACCACCACCACCACCCACCACCACCACCACCACCACAAACCACCACCACCACCACCACCACCACCACCACAAATCACCACACCGCCACCAAATCACCACCACCACCACCACCGCCGCCACCACCACCACCACCAGCACCACCTCCACAAACCATCGCCACCACCACAACTCACCAGCACAACCACCACCACCACCACCACCACCACCACGACAACAACAACAACAACAACAACAACAACAACAACAACAACAACAACAACAACAACAACAACAACAACAACAACAACAACAACAACAACAACAACAACAACAACAACAACAACAACAACAACAACAACAACAACAACAAACCACCACACCACCACCACCACAACCACCACCGCCACCACCACCACAACCCACCACCACCACCACCACCACCGTCGTCCTCTTCGACGCTCTCCGCCGTCGCCGCCCGCCGCCGCAGGCGCTAGCGCCGGCCCAGAAAAGGAAATCGTCGTCCCCGCCGCCGCCGCCAGCCGCCGCCGACGCAAGCGCCGGCCCGAGGAGGGGAGGGGAAACAGGGGAGGAAGGGAGGGGGGGTGTCCGGTTTCAAACCTCCCCCCCTCCAAGCGATCACAAAATGCGCTCATTCCGACTTGGCCAAGGCCGTTGCACGTGCACAGCCCCCGCCCCTCCATGCTCGCCCTGCCGCTGTCGGTGCCCCAGGGCCGGCCTTGGCCCCGCCCCCCGCGGGGCCCCTGGCCCGCTCCGGCTGCGGTCGGCGCCATGGGCACAGCCTGCAGCGTGGGCGACCAGCAGTGCTGCAGCGTCGCGCGTGCCCATGGGCGCGCCCGCCACCAGTGCACCCCCCGCGATCCGATGTCGACGCCATCGGCGAAGACAACGACGGCGACGAGGGCGACGACCACGACGACGACCACGACGCCGATGACCCCCCAGACGGCGATGGCATCGACGACGCCGACGCCGACGACGACGTGACAGACGGCGATGCCGACAACGTCACCGGCGACGTCGACGTCATCGACGGGGACGACGTCTACGAGGACTTCGTCGTCCACGACAACGATCCAGAGATTCGATGTCTTGTTTTTTAATAGGGATCCCCAGAAGTCTCGGCCCTTTCCCGGGGCTGGCTGCATGTATTTTCGTGGCGAGGGTCCCCAGAGGCCGAAGCTTGCCAAACGCCTCCCGCCGTGTTTTCCTCACGACGACAGGCGGTGGGGGCCCTCTCCACCGAAGCCGCGGCTGGCTCCGCAGTCCCTGATCTCTGACGCTGCGAAAAGCTTGCGGTAAGGCTTCAAGAGCCCATCGGAAACGAGAAGGCGAGATGGCAACAAACATTACGTTTCCTTTTTGGTTTTCCAGCTAGTTTGGCCTCTTGGCGGGATCCGTGGAGGGCACTCGAAACCATCTTGGGGCCTTTTTGGGCCACTCGGGTGTTTGTCGAATGTGATCTCAAGCCCTCCTCAGGTATCTCGAGCCATCTTGGAGGCTAGGCAAGGAAATGGCTGTTAGTCTCAATGAAGGGGTTCCTGCGGCGGCAGCCTTGCGCGGGATTTCTTCTGCTCGTTCAGGTGTCGAGGAGTATCATGCTAATGGTGCGCTTGATTTCCGAACGCGTGTTCTCGTTGTCTATGTTGCTGGCCGAGGAGTTGCCCTGCAAGGTCGGTGCTTGGGCGTGACGTCGTAGCCTCACCGGGCAGGTGCATGGAGCTGCGCTGGTACTTTCTCACGGTGGCGCCTGCATTAGTGTTGGCGTTGATCACACTTTGTGAGACTCTTCCGTCTAGCATGTCAGATATCAGGCACCAATCGGCACCGTAGTCATCTGTGCCATCATAATATTTTCCATGCGTGCAGCCCTCGTAGTCGCATTGGATGCTATCCAGGAGTGCCTATATATTCTCCCTTGCGCCATCTTTCAGGCCCGACTCATTTGGCGAGTACCAGCCTAACGAGAGACAGGAGGCCAGGCTGGCATCTCTTTGGCAAACCATGCCACCTACTCTTCTGCCTGATGCTGTCTTTCCTGCTGATTCTTGGAGAACAAGAGGACGACGATGAGTCTACGAGGCAGAGGCTAAGTAAGGTGATGAACAGGAGGGTGACGACGACCACGGTAAGGGTAGAACGTGGTGATGATAGTGATGCTGATGTCGGTTGACGATGGTGGCCAGGAATCGCATACTCGCTGATCAGCTCCAGGTGATGGGCGCCGCAACCATCGCTCCAGAACAGGCAGCTCGGACATAGCCATCGACACTCGGTCGGGCCAGGTGCAAGAATACACGAAGGACCAGCAGCCTTGAACGGAAGGCAGTGGGCGTGGTCGCCGTCGTAAACATGAGCAGGCATGCGGGCGCTCGAGCTGCCAAGCAGACCCACATGAACAGCAGGCGAGAGGCCAGATTTAATGCGAGCATCCTGATGAGGGCGCCCTCCCCATGAACTGGGCTGAAGATGCCACAGTCGGACCGATGTATAAGATCGAGGTCGGATTGGGGAGGGCACCCCAATATTCGTGGATGGAGCCGCAGGCGGTTGTTTCAATAGGGGAGCAAATGTGGGGGGAGCTTGTGTTTCCAGGTGACCTCTCCTGGACCTCCTGCCTGAAAGGCTGATGGAGTCCTCGAGGCTGTGTGTGTGTGTGTGTGTGTGTGTGTGTGTGTGTGTGTGTGTGTGTGTGTGTGTGTGTGTGTGTGTGTGTGTGTGTGTGTGTGTGGGGGGGGCTGGACTTGTTGCCCCCCCCGGGGGCGGACACTTTGTCAACCTTCTTTCCCCGTGTCCCGGCCGCGTGGCCGATTCGATCGGCTGTGATGACATTGCCGCCCTGAGCTCATTCTCGCTCTTTTGTGCACCGTGGCGCGCGATACGTGTCCGTTACCATTTTGGCTCACAGCAACCGTGCATGCTTGCGCGCCACGGGCCTCTCTCCTCTAGTTTTCTGACTCGCAGTCCACGTTGCATCGTGGGTGCATTTGTGGACTGCAGCGCCAGGTCCCTTCCACCGGTTTCGGACATCGAGACCTTCAACACGTTGGGCAAGTGTTTCGAGTTCGCAGGCCCGCACCAGACCGTCGCAGGTCCTGTGCTGCAGCTTATGGGGGCTGCATTGTCGTCTCCTTTGGCGACGGGCGCATACGCTGCCGACGAAGAGTTCCAGCAGGTGTTGGACGCGTGGCGAATTGTCCTCGATGGTGGCGGGGACGCGGTCCGGCTCTCGATTGCGCAGCTCTCCATGGCCCGCAGCGGGCGCCATTTGGTACGTGTTGCTGGCAGTGTGCTGGCGCACCCCGACGCTCTAGCCTGCCTCGGCCTTGGGCAGGGTGGGGTTGGGCATGCAGGGCTGACGGGACGGGGTCGGGTGGACCGCGCGCGCGTTCGCAGCGCTGCAGGGCGGCGCGGACGGGCGCGCCTGGCGGCCGCCGCCCGCGCGGGCGCGGCCGCCCCGCAGCGATGACGTTTGCAGTATTTTGATTTGGCCGCGAGCCTTCTTTGGGCCCCCTCTCCCTTCCTTGCTCTAGTGAAGGGGCGCGCATGAGCGGAACGCTGCGGGGGGTCCCCTGTCCCATCCTCGTCGGTCATTCGCAGTCTGGCCAAAACGCCCTGAGCGAACAGCTGCAGGCCTTCACGGGGACCGTCAAGGAGGCGCTGGCTCGAAGGCGGGGTCGCCAGCAGGCCGAGGCCTCGGACCCCCCTCCTGCTGGCTCGGTTTCGGAGTTGGTTTCGTTGGTTGACAAGGCCACCAAAGCGAACCCCAACATACCAGGCGCCAAGACGGTCAAGATGAGTGCGGCCATCGACCAGGTGTCGGGTGAAGTGGTCGCCGTCCTGAGTGCGAAAGAGGTCGGCGTTCACCGCGCGGCATACCATGAGACGTTCAGCGGCCGTTGCCGCCGAAGAAGGGTCTCAGCATCGAGCGTATGACGAGCCTTCACGCCCGCATCAAGCAGGGCGCGGTGTGATGGAGTTCCACTTTTCGGGGTTTAGGTTTAGCATGTGTATCTCCCCCCCAGAGAGCAGGAACCATAATGACTGACATTCATGGTCTGTTGCCGGGTTTGGCTCAAGGCTAAAAGGCATCCGCTTATCCTGCTGCTGCCACAGTTGGTAGCGGAGCGGGGCTGGCCATGGCCGCGTTGGGCGGCGCGGCGCGCGGCTAGGTGATACTGGCAGCGGTGCGCGCGCGGCTCCATCGGCCGGGCCGGTCTCGCTCGTCGAGACGTGCAGTGTGGGATCCACGGCAGGTGCCGGCATGGCGGCAGACGAGACGTACGCGACGCGAGGTGCAGACGGCTCGGCAGGCCAAGGGGACGGGCCAGCCGGGCAGGGAGAAGGTCAGCAGACAGCGGCTTCGCCCTCGGGGGAGGCACTACCGGCGCAGATTTCTGCCCAGGTGCAGGACTCGGTGCGCAAGTGCCTCAGCGAGCTAGTGCCGGACACTAGCAGGGGCGGCCGCGCGGCTGGCCAGGACACGGCGTCGTGGCCCAGTGGTGGCGAGACGTGGCGTCCGGAGGGCGCCGATCCGTGGGAGGAGAAGGACCCTTGGGGCCAAGGGCGCAACGGCGGGGAGTCGTGGCGCGACAAGGGCGGCTGGGACGACAATCAGTGGCAGAGTCGTTCCGGGTGGCAGCAGGATAGTTGGCACTCCTCCGACGGATGGAAGACGGGATCCTGGTCGGCGCCTGCGACCCGTGGCGACTTCACGGATCCACCGGCGCGGCCAGGATGGACTCACTACCGCCAGTGGAAGAAGGCGGTGCAGAGGTGGAACCGGAGTACCGATGTTCCGCTCTGGCGACGTTCAGAAAAGTTCTTGGCCCTGTTCGACTGGGCCACGCAGTCAAAGTTCGACGATGTGCCGGAGAGCCAGCTGATCAGCAACCAGTGGCTCGACACGCTCCTGAAGAGGATGGACCTCATGAGCGGAGAACGCGAAGGCGACGAGCTCAGGAGAGTGGGTCGCCGGGCGCTGTACGAGGGCACGCGCGACAACAAGGAGTCACTGACACAGTATGTGGCGAGGCGCGACCTTCAGTTCCAAGAGGCCGAGGGCAACGACCTATGGCTCTCGGAGAAGCTCAAAGGTCTGATGCTGGAAGAAGGAGCGGGCCTCTCGGCACAGGGTCAGCAGAACATGAGAACGCTGACTCAGGGCAGCCTGGACTACAAGCAGGTGGCCTGGGCGCTGCGTCAGATGGACTTCGGGGGCCCTGAGCGGCTGATGACCGGTAGGGCGGCATCGCATCCCGTCATGGCCGCAGAAGCCGGCCGAGCGGGAGAAGCTTCAGGCTCTCTCTTTCCTCCTCCTCCTCCTCCGGTCCCGGGCGCCGAGTCGCACTGCGACGACTGGCAGGGCGAGGCAGAGGGCTTCGAGGGCGGCTCTGAGGACGAGGACGATCCCGAGCTAAGCGAGGACGAGGTTCTGGCCATTTTGGCAGAGATAGAGGACCTGGAGTTGAACGAGGACGAGGCTGAGGAAGTCTTCGTGCAGCTCGAGCAGAAGAAGCGGACTTGGAAGGAAAACAAGGACCTGAAACGAGCGGCCAAGAGGGATCGCGAGTACTTCAGGTCTATGCAGGCCGCGTGGCTGGAGGTGAAGGTCATGACGGCCGTCGAGGTGGACGACCGGGCGCGCGGCCGGCCAAGGGTCGCGGCCGAGGACCGCCGGAGACCCGAGCGCCATCAGAGGAGGACGCGCGAGCAGCTGATGAAGGTGACGCACTGCAAGAGGTGTCTCCAGAAGGGACACTGGTCCAGGGAATGCCCAAACCCACTGGTGTCAGACGACAAGCGCCGAGCCTCAGACAAGAAGAAGAACCTGGCCGGCTACACGTTCACGGGCTGCACGACGGCGGGACCGTGCCTTCCGGTGGTGACCGGCAACCAGCTCGAGACGCTGAAGGAGATTCAGGAAGAGGTGAACGCGGTGTTCTTTGACGACGGCGGCCAACCAGGGCCTGGTCGACCCCGGCGCAGGCAGCGACATAGTGGGCCGCATCTCGCTCAATCGGGAGTCGCACGAGCTGGCCCGACTTGGGCTGCGGTACGTCCAGGTGCCGGAATCCGTGAGGCCGCTGCGCAGCGCTCATGGGGTAGGCGGCCCTGCCAAGGTGATTGCGACCGTGCTGTTTCCTCTGTGCTTAGGCGGCGTGCTAGGCATCATAGAAACTACAGTCTTGGGCGAGGACGTGCCTCACATACTGAGCGTGAATCTGTTAGATTTCTTGAAGTGCGTAGTCGATCTGCCTAGGAACATCTTAGCGCCAGGGACCCTGGAGGAAGATATTCCCATGACCAAGCTCAGCACAGGGCACCGCATGGCAGACATAATAGGACCAGTTGCTGGAAGAGGCAAGGCGCCTCGCGACGCTGTAAGCAAGTACCCTTTCTTGACGGCAGCGTCGTTCTTGCTTGACGGAGACCGGGCTCCAGAGATGAGCTCGGACGGGACTGTGACCCAGTACATCATCCCTCTCCTCGCGATCTTCCTCTTTTTTCTCAGGCGTCGAGGGCCTCGGAGGGCCCCAAGGCGCGACGTGGTCAGGGTCAAGGGGGGCCTCCAGGCGGGCCCGACGGACAAGGTGATGGAAGACGAGGGGGACGACGACAGGATCGGCCTCCAGGAGGGCCACTTAGATAAGGAGTCGCCGGGCCTCGCGGGCCTGGCCGAGAAGGTGCTCGAGGGGGTCTGCCAGCCACAAGCTCAGCTAGCGTCTCAGAGATTCGCCGAGGGCTTAGGATCAGCCGGGAGTGCTAAGGACATGCACAGGACCGTCAGCGACCACAGCGGGGCGGTCTCAGAGATTCAGAGCTATCCGCATGTATCTCGATACGTAGCGCTTTTCGGCTCAAGCTCAGAGATCAGCTTTCAAGACTTTCCAAGCAGTGGACTTCTTCCACCAGTCAACCTCAGCGAGGCAGCCGATGGCGGTCCGGGCGCTGCTGTTCGCGATGATGACCAGCGC